TTAGCATACTCTTTAAACTATAACTTTTGTTTCTCACAGATTACACCATAGTTTAGAAAGCACTTAAAAATGAAGAGCGAGCAGTTGAAAACATGAGGAAGAGCAAAAGTCGATGGGCCAATATGGATTAAAATAACCATCTTCTGTGTCCATTTGATATCTTAATGCTTTTACCCCATTTTCTGCAGGGAGAGGGCTCTCTCAGGGATCGTGTAACTTTGTGAAGTGGATAAAAATCTTAACCGGATTTTCCAAGTAGACTGAGTTTATTTAACACGTCCGGGTATGAATGCAAGAGACTTCTCAAACAGTCTCAAAGTCCTTGCCAGTCTGTTGGAGTGGGTGTCAGGCGGTTTTCCGGGTTCTCGGGCTGCTCGCTTTCCTCCGTTTTCCACAACAAGGGGTTAGGTGCATCGAGAAACTCCTCTTCAGACTGTGGAATTCGAGGCTGATTTCTCTAGTGTTTGCTTTCTGGGCTTCTGTGTTGGTATTTACTCCTGGGTACCAGGTTCCTGGAAGAAGTCTTTCAAGTGCCCTCCTCAGTATCTGTGGTCCTTCCAGTATGGCCTTTGCTATTGCCGGTTTCTGAAAACTGCCAGTGACTATATTTTTGTTGTTTATCTCTGTCCCTCGATTTTTTTGCATGCACATTTGGTGATCGTGTGCTTAATTCCGAGTTACTGCTAATACATCAGTCTAATGCTAGAGCTGTTATGGTCAGTAATCAGTTGGCTAATACAGTCTAGATAAGCACTAATAATGCAAACTGCCTAACAGTAGTGATTTCTCTTTATCCTCAGCTACTTTTATAGCCCACGAGGGAGTATCTACCTAGATTGGTTTTGATGCCGTTTTTTAAAAGCATAGGGAAGAAAAGAGATTTCTGTGAGCTGGGAGATGACAGCTTTGTCTCTCACATACGTTTTTGGTAGGAGTTGATCTTCTTCTGCTGTAAGGGGGGCACATTGACCTTCTGCAGATAGCTAAACCCCATCCAGCCCTATCACTCGTGTCTGAGGAGACCCTCGCCGCTTTCTGTGCCTGCGCCGTCATTCTAGAGCAGGGTGTAACGATCAATCGAAACACACAAAATAGGGTGGATGGGACAACTTTACAGTCCAAAACGGCTAATTGGAAGCTTGCCGCTCTTAATGGGACTAGCCATCACTACCTTAGTTGGGTCTTGTTCCCTTATGATTGCAGATGAAGTCTCCGTGCTACTTTTTAGGCTTGGCAGAAAGATGGCAAACATGCTTACAAAACTAGAGTATAAGCTGCACTGTTAATTTAGGAAGCAGTTAAAGGAAACCTGTGTGATGCTTTGAGCCCTGTTGCAGCCATGCAACCCAAGGTAATCTGGTTTTTTGTTTTTCAGATTCTCAAATTGATTTCTTAGATGAAGTGTGAAGAGCACGGTGCCTCTAGTAGTGATTAAGCATGCCAGCCACTGAGCTCTCTGCTAGTTTGCAGGGAAACTCGCACCCTAGGGACCACTGGACTGACTTACCAGTAGCAGGTGTATATGTCCAGGAGGGGCATATCCAGGATTTTTCTAAAGGTGGGGTGTGAGAGCAGTGATTGGCACTGCAGGGGCGGCTGCACCCCTGCTCCCAGCCTCCCCCCACCCCAGGGTGGGCAGACTGCACGGTGGGAGCAGCAACTGAGGTCTTTTAAGTTCCTCATCCAGGTAAGTCTTCCCTCACCCCTGCCTTCCTCTCTGCACAGCAGCATGTCCTGTTCCCTCTCTTCCTATTTCACCCCTACCCTGCCTGCTGCTGACCACACTGTGCCCAGCTGATCTGGGGATGAAGCGGAGGTGTCAGAGCTGCTCCTGCTCTGCTCTAGCCAGGCTACATGTGGAGCCCAGCTCAGCTACGGGCAGCGGCGGCACCGGCAGCAGCAGGCAGTTTCCTTCCTCAGTGCCTGCTCCTGGGCTGGCAGGGATGAGGAACTTGCCCGCTGCTGTCACTGTCCCGTCTGAGCCTGACTTCCTGCAGAGCCCAACTGGAGCAGGGAGGAGCAGCTCTGAAGTCTCCCCTGCCGCCACGCACTGGCAGCCTGTAGGCAGGCGAGCGGGGGCAGCAGTGGGGACATGCTGCTGAACAGAGGGGAAGGGGGGGGATTCCTACCCAATTGGGGAACTTAAAATAGTCCCCAGCTGCTACTTCCATGATGCAGTCACCTGAAAGGTGGGGGGAGGGGGTGCCTCCCCCTCTGAATCCACCCCTGGCTCTCGAGTGCTGCAGCTTGTGGAATCCTTGTCAGTTTGTGCCGGGAAAATGAGCTGGGTGAATGTCGACAGCTATTGTCAGAGCTAGTGTTCTGCTTTCTGCTGCAGCCAGAGCTCTGGGAAGCTCAGACCGCATGCGCTGGCATTTATAAAAACCTATTCTTAATCTTCGTTCCCTTGTCTCTTCCCCTCAGGAGTATAAACAGAAGCTCGCTCGGGTAACCCAGGTCCGCAAGGAGCTGAAATCCCACATCCAGAGCCTTCCAGATCTGTCGCTGCTACCCAACGTTACAGGAGGCTTGGCACCTCTGCCGTCAGCTGGTGACCTATTTTCAACTGACTAGGACAAATGGTGCCCACATTTACCAATTCCCCTTAGTACCAGCAGAAGTAAGAAGACTCTCTCTGGTGTTGACTGGAAATCCAGTCTTCCAACGATCTACCATGGGAAGGGACATGCAGACCTATTTTTCAGACTACCAGCTGTGCATGCTCTCTCTCTGTATATTGTCTCATGTTGAGGGGAAGGTGAAGTGCGTGTGTGTGTATGTGTGCGTGTGTGCATGCGTGTGCACCAGTGTGTGCACTCCGAAGAGAGGGGTATAGAGTCCATATATATTTTGAAAAGACGAACCTTACTCACATTTCCTGTACTCAGATTAGTTTCCGTTTGCTCTTAGCACTTGTTACTCCCACAGAAGTCATGAATCGTGTACATATACCTTGGAAGCTTTCAAAGAAATGTTGGACTTGATGACACTTTTTTTTCTCTATAAAAGTATCAGATTATTTCTGAATCAGTTTTGTTTGTTTTAATCTGGTTTCTGAGCTTCATATCCCTGAGCAGTTGAATGGCTAGTGTCCTTTACAGGAGGGCGTGTGCATATGTACTGTACCATACCAGGGCAAGAAGGATGCGACTATACAACCACGGTACACCTGAACCTTTCATTAGACCTGTACTTGCTCTTACTCTTGTAGGAGTTGTACGAAGCTGGTTCCTATTTGGTATGGTGCCTATGTGTATAAAGCGCGACAGTGGGCAATAAAAATGAACAATTTTCTTGTGCTAAGGGATAGTTTCAGAACTTACACTCTGCTGAGCAGTGCAGAACTGGATATTACCCAAGCATAAGTGAAGTCAATTCTGTTCCGGCTCCTTTCTTTTCTTTTTATATTTATACCACATTTATCTTCTCTGTATTATATAATCAAGAAATGTCCATGAAAGTTTTGGTTTAACTGCCACGGTCATGGGATACAACTAGTGATAGCCCATCACTTTCACTTCCTTTGAATTTGAGGATGATTTTATTGTTAACTTAAGGAATTTAGTTTCTTTAGCTTGAACAAAGTGATTTGCTGAACTAAAGTTTAAATGTGGTATAAATATCTTATGTAGAGAGTATCAACATGTGCAGACTTGTACGTGGGCGCACACTCTCTCTGAGCATACACCAGTATACATGCACATATAATGTAGGAAGGTGTGCTTAATTTTGAATCGCATATTAATGTAAGTTGACTTTTTTTTCTTTATATTGGAGAAAACTAAAAACAAAAAATGTACAATGCTCTCGTCTAATACCATGATCATACCAGCTAGTATTTTACAGCTCCCATGGGTGTAGTCAGGTTTAAATTTGTGTGTATTAGCTCTAACAAACAGACCTCTCTGCTCATTGAAAACCATTCCAATCTGGCAATGTATCCTGTTGAAATTCAAACGCCTCTTGCTAAGATATTGTGAGATGCTGGAAACACTTGATCTAGTAATGTAGGTTTTTGTAATACAGAGGCTAAAACTAGTAAGGCTAGCTGTGTTGTATTTGTGCCTCGCTTGTAGTCTTAAACTGCTGTTTTCAAAGGTGTGAGAGGAAACCGATAGAAATATGAAACTCATTCTGTGTGCTCATTAATTTATTTTACAGGGAATTCAGTGACTTTTATTCAGCATTCAGCTAAACTGAATAAACTAGCATCTCTGGCTTAGCTGGCGAAACGTCCGTGTGCTTTTCCATACCGACACTTGCTTTTTTTGGCCCTTTATTGAATTTCTTGCTGCCCATCTCTGGAGTCTGTTTTCCCCTTGGCAGAACTCTCCTCTTCCATGAATTGATGCAATTGGACAGTCCTTTGTCTGAATATTTTTGGACCATTTAAGTGCTATATATTCTCTGCTTTTGCCAAAAAACCCCTCGAACACCCAAACCAAAAGATGCACTTCTGTCCTGTCCCAGCTCAGCAGAGTTAGCCCAAGGCTATATTTCAACTGGTAATCATTTCCGACCAGCAATTGACTGCATAACTGTTATATGACAACAATGAAGCAAAGCTGTCGTAGAACTTAGACAATTGTGTTGGCATCTCAAACTGTGTGGGGCAGATTTTTCTGAGAGAGAGTTGTATTTTTTTAATTGAAATGTTTTGATTTTTTTTCTAAATACATGTGTGTGCGTGAATTGTTTTGGTCTAATTTAAATGAAGTCTTGTGGTTTATAATTTTATTTGGTTTTGCTTTTTGGGCAAAGGGTGCACCTAGTGACCTGAGTGGAGCTTTCTCCAGGTCAAACAGATTTTTCCCCAAAGCGTGTGTCTTTTTTAACAAAAGCTTAAATCTGTACATGAACTGATTTAGGAATTAATTTAGAAGTATAGGCTGCCATTTGTGGCAGCAGTATATTCTGAAATGTCTCATAGATATCTATTTTTGAATAAAGAGGGTGTCGTTGAAAGGCAGTTTGTTTTATTTTTATTTTTCTATCCGCAGACTCAATGTTGCTTTGGCACGCCCTGAATTTTGCTCGATTTAAAGCCGTAGTTTCAACATGCAGCAGCTGCTTGAAGTAGTCTTCACTTTGAAGAGCTCTGTCGCTGTGAAGCATCACTTGAGCTTGACAAATTGACAGTTGCTCTTTAACTGCTTGCAAACCAAACTAATGCATAATTCTCCTAGATCATCACGGCATCAAAGCAGGCTCCTCCACTGGACGATCTTCTGTTTGGAGGGCAGAAGGTTTAGAAGGCAAATCCAATCCATAATTAATCCAAGTTGCACTGAGAAACATGTGTAAATAGCTGCATCCTCTAATTAGAGGTGGGAGCCAGGAATCTGACACCGAAACAGTTCTTGGTGCCTCTGTACTACACTGTCTGCAACCTAGTAGTCAAACGTATTTGCCGTTGAGAAGAGTGTGTGAAAGCAAACATCGCATGGAAGTATGGTATGTGGACCAGGGCATGTATGATGCTATCATGAGGCTCTTCTGTCTAGTTGGCTTACCTAAGGGCTCCTTAAGATGATTTTAGAGCAGACCCACCTCATATCTAACATACCTATCGGGCTTGGAGTTAGAGAATGTCCATAAAACATTTTCCTGGTCTTCAAATTGTATACCAGCTTAGAAAATCCTGACCGAAATTCAGGGCTACTTTCATGACCATGAAAAGCATTTGGGAAATTGGGCACCCTCTTCCAGGGAGTGAGGAAAAAACCCATTCGACTCCCTTCACAGTGAAAATTCATCCTCTCCTGGCAGCCTTAAAAATTAAGGGAAGACTTTGAAAGATGCCAGCAGCAGGTAGGTGCTAGGCTATCTCCCCTTCAAGTTAAAGTAACAAAGTAAAGAAACTTTTGTTTTATTCAAGACTCTGTCTTCTACTCTTCTGTATGCCCTGCAGTGCTGGAGGATGGTACCTGGGCCCAGCGTAGGCTGTAATTAGCTTTCCCCGTTGCTAACCCTGAGCATGCAGGGCTGTTGTGAAAAGCCACTGTAAAACGAGCAGCATGGGGCTTCTTGCACAATAACGTCCTCAAAGGGTAAAGCAGCCTGCAGCTGCCCTTGTGCTTTAGGGAGGGGGTGGGCAAAGGAGATCTGGGCTTTGGTCCCTTCAGTACAATGGCAGGATGGGGCATGTGTAAATCACGGCGCATGAGTGTGTGTCCTGGAAAGGAGGCAGACTCAACGCTTCACCTGCCCAAACCTCTGGCCCCCTCTCTTCTCTGACCACCCTGTAGTCTAGCCATGACCGGATTGCACACAAAACGTGCATTCATCTACGTAGCTCAGTCAGCATCTTGAGACTTTAGTAAACTTTACTCCACTGGCCACATGCATTTCAAAGTGCCCCTTTGAGCACCATTTTCAACATTGCTCGTGCTGCCAATGCCAAACCTAGGTAGTGCCATGTTATAGATGAGGAGCATCCCTAGCTGCATTCAAGTCAAGGATAAGACTTGGGCTCTGAAGGAGAAATCCCCTTTCATGCTGGCAAACAAGTGATGTCATTTTCAAAAATGTGGCCCCAGAAGGCAAGGCAGATCTCAAGATCCTAGGACAGTCGGGCTGGGGGGGCCTCACATCAGTAGTGCAGCCCCCTGCTCGAGGCAGAATCGTCCCGCACTCGACCGTCCCAGCCAAGCGTCTGTCCAACCTGCTCTTGAAAACTCCCCAGGATGGAGATCCCACCGCTTCTCTCGGCAGCCTGCTCCAGTGCTTGACCACCCGCGTGCTCGGTTCCTCCTAATCTCCAACCTCAGCTTCCCCCTCTGAAGCTTGAGGCCATTGCTCCTCTCTCTGTCCCCTTGAGGAAAGCCCATCTCCGTCTTCTCTGCCATTGCCCTTCAGGTATATGAAGACTTATCGAGTGCCCTGTCTTGCAAGGGTGTAGTTAAGACTCTTGTATACTTTTATTTTTTTCTTTTATTTTAATCTTTGTTTAAAAAAAAAAAATTAGCTTTTAATGTTGAAAAATCTGTGACATCCTGTCTGCAGGGAGCTGAAATTTATTTCCCTAATTTGTGTGCCAGTACTCTTGATATTGCCACAGCTCAGTGAATAACCGATACTTTATTGCTGCTCCCCTGCACGGAGGGAAGGCATAAACAATGAGCTTTAATGAAAGTGCAGTTCTTCTCTGAAAAGTGACTTTGTAAAACTTGCATTTTCTTGAACGCGGTGTGTTCAATTACACTTGCTTCAGTGAGCAAAATAAATTGTTCCTGCTCCTTTCTCCTGCTACCCTCTACCACTCAATGGGAGGTAGAAAGGGGCTCTGGCCTGGGCAGAAACAGAACCCGTTTTGGAGTTGGCTTTTAATAGCATGTCTCTTGAACCCATCCAGTACTCCTAACACAAGAACTGCAGCTGCCCAATAACATTAATCTAATCAAAAACATTCATTAAATCCTTTGGCGCAGTATCTACAAATAGTTTTCATTCTTCCAGCTCCAAAGGCAGAATTGTCTGCCTCTCTCTCATGATGTTAGCGACAAAGAATAGTGTTTGATATCCAAACCGGAGCTGGCGTTTGGAAAGCTCTGCTCTACTTCAGAAGTGAAAAAATATGGGAGATGGAAATGACTGAGACACAGCAACCGTGCAACTGTCAGTGGGATCTTTGTGCGTGTTTCTAAACTTAAACGGCAGGTTTCGGCATCTGAGGAGAGCTGTGGTGGACCAAATTTAAGAAAACATAAAAGAAGTCCAGAGTGTCTCTTTTGGATGGCAAATGAATTATTAAGGCAGTGAAACCTTGCCTCGCAATCTGCATAAGCATCCCCTCCAGCACAGTGCTCTGGTTGTAAGATTTGTGATTTGACTTGAGTTGAGTGGCCTTGAAGGCTGTGGGGTTTATTTAGCCCTGGTTTTGCAATTCAACCCTTTTTCCCTTTAGAAGAGAGAAGCCAATATGGACAGGGATGCTCGTTCCCTCATGGATGACTCCAATAAAGAAGAGCTGCAGGAGGTCCAGCTCGATAAAAGTGAATGGTGCAGGACTCGCTGCTGCCAGGGGTCATTCTGTTGATCATCTTTGGAGTTGTCCGCACAGTACGGGCCAATAGCTCCTCATCGCCTTTCCATTAAAGGACGGTTTTCTGATGACAGTGAAGATGCAACAGTGAAGTGTCACGGAGGTGAGACAACCACCCTGGCATCTGCCAGGTAGCTGGAAGTGATGGACTCCCCGGTTAGCGTGCGGCTCGGCTGCCTCTCATATCCCCTTGTATCTCTAGAAGCTGCTGGATCTGGCATAGAGCAGACCAGGGCATTTCCAGGGTAGTTTGCAATGCCAAACTGCGGCATGCTCCAGAGAGAAGGCCTCTGAAGACATCTCTCTTCTACAGTGCCGCTTCTCAGAAGGTACTGGATTTTGTGGAGCATTTTTCCTGGAGAGGGCAACCACTTTGAATTTGCTTCTTGCATGTGCACATATGGACTCATGGGGAAATGGGCCTATAACTGGGCACTGATGATGCCTTGAAACACTGTTCTGTGCTCCAGCCTCTCTGGCTGTGGTGACCAGATCCTCGAGACCCACCAGGTCCTAACGTGGTGACATCTCTTGCTGGATGTCCCCGGGTCGGGGGACAAGCCGGGGAAATGAAAACGCCTGGGGCACTAGGAAGGCAGTTGGACGGGGTTGTGTCATGATCTACTTTCCTTTTGCCTCGCAGCTGAACTGCAAGCTTCTGCCATCGATTCCTGTTACACTCCGAGGACGGGATGTCTGACCTGTCGTGTTGGTGGCAGAGGGTGACTGATGGCCCAGGCCGCTGCCCTAGCCACACGTGGTGTCTGGGGTATCCTGGGTCTGTCAAGGGCTGAGGGAGCAGATCGTGTGGATGTCGGGTCCCTGTTGCATTCTCCCTGCCTCTGCCGTGTTTGTCCTTTGGCACAGAGTGGGCTGCAAAGGATTTTCCTCCTAATCCCTCAAAAGCAGCTTTTTGCAGCTTCCTTGATAGTGCTGGCAGGGGGTGTTGTTATCTTAGGAGGATGGATGACTTCTGATGGGTTTTCTGTTTCCTTTCAATTAGCTGTATTAGTAGCAGGGGAAGAAGGGGACATATCTCCTGGCTGGTTTCCCTGCACTCATGTTGCTGTGGTTACTGGTTTTTTTACAGAGGTACCTGGTGCCAAAGAGTTGCAAACACCACCAGCCAAATGTGCCACCTGCAACAGCTAGCAATTTAGGTATAATCTTCTCCGATTTCCAGGAGGGTAGAGAGAGCCCAAGTGCTGCAGCAGGGGAGCAGCAGTGAGACTAGCAGGCTCTGCTGACTCCAGCTTTGTCTTCTGTGGCTTTCTCTGGTTGCTGGCAGGAGTTGTGTCCTGGGCCACGTCGCTCCAGAGCAGAGACCAAGTGTCAAGCCAACAAGGAAGCCAGGTGTGCGAGCTCTGCGGGGCTCCCCGAGAGCCTTCCCATGCTTCTCTGGGCTCCCTTTGCAATGCCACGCCAGTCCTGCATGGCCAGGGCCTTTATCTAGTCGGCCAAGCCTGTTCTTGGCTCCTGCCACCGCCTACCAGTTGAGGGGAATGCAGGGACCGGGGGGGCACGGAGCAGGTGGCCTTGTGTCCTGCTCCCTGTCAGCATAAGGGTAACAGCCCCTTTGCTGGCCTCAAATGTTCACAAGCAGCCGGTCCCTAGCACAGGTGAAGGAAGCACAGCAGCTTCCTTCCAAGTAGGTAGCGCCCCTGAGCCGACGGCCAGCGCCGCGCCGCGCCGCGCTCCGCTCCTAGCATTGCTCTCCCAACTGTCCCTGGCAGGAGTTCAGGGCCCAGGCCTCTGGGAAACGTTAGTGAGCCCGTGCTTGGGGCCAGGGTGGTGGCGGAGGGCAATGTCATCGAGAGCGGCAGGGGGAGAAGGGGAAGGTTGGCGGGTGAGCAGCCCCTCGCTGCGGCAGGGT